CGCTGTTCCTTGTCTGTCATGTTCACCCAATTTTCAAGGGCCACTATGAGTGTCACAACCAATAGAACATACGGAAAGTCTATTGGCCAGATCCTCTCAGAACTAAAGCCAGGCTAACTTGAAATATGCCCGTGGTTCCTTCAGATCAGGAGCACATCCAACCCTTCTGATGCACCATGTCCCTAGACCATGCTGTAAGAGGTGGCACTGCCACTACAGAAGGGGATGCTAACTTCTGAGGCTCATATATTACTGTGTCTTCCACCCTGTCTCCTTCTGATACGTTATTCCTTCTATGGCACTGGATTATGGTCAGAGTCTTGGATAAAATGCAAGAATTTGGTTTAGTAAATAGTGGATAGAAATAACTGTAGGTGAGCCACAGGTTTTTCTAGAGCAAACGGAAGAATGCCCTTCAGTAGTGGTCCCATCTGTGCTTTAATGTGAAGTAGATGCTCCCAGGTAGGCCTGCTATAGGACACTGATGGTCGGGCAGGACAGCCTCAGATTTTATAGATGGACATTTAAGGACACAGTGCATGACAAGTATAAAACGTACTGTGGCACAATGACAGGCCTAAGTCAAATTCTCATCTCCAGCACTAACTTCAACTAGCAACTGTGAGTCTTTGGGAAAGTCATTTAAATTCTTTGAGCTTCTGTTCCTGCTACTTAAAACTGGGTTCATCCTTTCTCCCTAACATCTAATCGCTCTTAATGCTTACTGTGGGCCAGGCCTCAGCACCCAATGAATTCCCTCTTCCCCTTGACCCTGTTCTCTCCTAAGTTCTCTACCCCAAATACTTCTTTTAGCAAGAGCATATAAAAATATGTGCTATGTTATATTTTTCTTATGACACCCCTTAAAAATAAAAAGGAAATATTCTACATAATAAATGGGAGATGGAATCAAGCCATATGAAATACTGGTTGTGGTCTTAATGATTTTTCAGAGCCAAGAATACCTGGGAAGATGATATTACATAGAAATGACCATGGTTAGGCCATAGGATGTTAATTATGACTGCAGAAAATCAGTTCAGTAACTTTCTTCTTGCAGAAGATGGCAGCTTATTTCCCATAAAAGAAAACCTGGTGATAAAAATTAAACTTCTTTCTAGCAAATAATAATGACCAAAATATAATTTCCTACATATTACCTGTTAAATTGTATCTTTTATACTAGTTTGAGAATACTTCTTATATAATAAAAAAGAAAATGAATATTCTGCATTTCTGGCTCCTTTCACAAGAAAAACACCATTACCTTTCTGATTGTCTTTTGAACAACACACACAGATTCTTCAGGAAGAAACTTATCCCTGTGGAGATTGAGAAAGGATCAGCTCTAAGCACTGAAACAAGCAATTAATTCCCACTAGAGGATTAAGGCACTCAAGTTCGCTTTGAGTCAGAAAAACAAACTGTGAATAAAATCATGTACAACCAAGAGGTTACTTGTTAAAGTTAATAAATTAGAGAATAGAAGGGCAAACTGGAAATGCACAGAAGCCAGGCAGCCACATGAAGCACTTGCAAGGAAACTGGTGGGGTTCTGTATCCACGGGACAAGATCCACCATTCTCAAGATGCATTAGGAGCATGAGGGGTAGGATGAGTACAATTTCTGCCATATGGTACTGTCCTCACTCTAATAGATGTAGTCCATAAAAAGAAGTCTAAAAGCATTTTCTACCCTGTTATGTCACCTTCTCTATGCATGATTTCCCTATAGTACCTTATCATTAAGACATGCAAGATATTAACATTCAATTTAGCAAACTTTATTATTTGGGTTTTAGAATTGATTCTAAATGAATTCAAGCAGCATCTCTGTAACCAACATTACAAACCTATAAAGTTTTGAGTGGGAGGCCACTGCTGCAGTGAGTACTTGGGGATCAAAAGGCCCAAAAGCCAAACCCTTTCCCATGTCCTGCTGGTCTGGAATAATGTGGACATCCAGGGGTCAGCACAGAGATGGAACAGGCTTAGAGTCTAAAATAAAGTTTCACTTCAGCAAAATTTGGCTAGTTTAACATTGTCAATATTTAAGAAAACAAAAACACTGATGAAAAAGTCCATCTGACCTGGCACTGCTTGAAATGCCTCTGTCAGTTATTCAGCAGTTTTCTTTCGTGAAACACATTCCATCTACAGTTTCATATTTCATCACTTAAGCAGAAATTGAAAATGATTACAAGTCCTTCACATAGTTAATTTTTCCTGCTTGATATTTTTTCTCGGCCACCTGGTGGTAAGAATGTAAAAGGCAGGAATTAATTTATAAGTTCATTATGCTAGTTTATAAATTAGAAATAGCTTATGCCTATTTCTACTTAGAGCATATTTAGAGACACACACACCAGGTGAACCAAACAAGAAAAGGGCTAGTATTTAACTCTTCTTAAATCAATCTGCAAAAGGATTTAAATGGACACCAGCTTCTACCATAAAAACACCCTAAAAAAAGGGGTCTCCATAAAATATTCATCCTGTATTAAAATTTAATACTAAGAAATGTTAGTAAAAACTGTGTCGTAACTACAAACTGTTTTCTCCAAGCGAAAAAACATCAAGCTGTTAATAATGCCTACTGCTTGTTGTCAAGTTAGGACTATTAGAAAAGACAGGTAAAACACCTGGATTTGGGTCGCATGAACTTAGGCCCTCTGAGGTGCCTGCTCTGTCACTCATCACTGGCTGGAGGATGAGCTGTTTCAGAACCAGAAACATGGGCCCCAAAGAACAAATGGGGAAGCTCCCTCTTATCTGTCTTTCCATTTGCTGTATAAATTAGCTTTCATCATTCAACGTCTTATGTCAAAGTCAGCTCCAGCAGAATCATGGCCCCACCAAATCTGTGAAGGGCACCCTGTCACAAATGAGGATTAGTTTCACAACTGGGGCCCTAGTCCTTATGTGGCCACAAGGCAACACTTGGCAGTGGCCTTTAGAAGATGCAGATGTTACAAAGTGAGGCCAAATCTGAGAGAAAAGCATATAGGATGTTGTCCATGACTGCTCTAAAGAGGATTTTTCTTATTTTACAGAAACCTCACATCTCAGTCAACTAGCCACCTTTCCCTTCCTCCTGTAACATTATTTTCCCTTGAGAAAATGCCTGCGTGTCCGATATAGTTACACATTAATTCTTCAGAAGTTTCTTAGAACTGTAGGAAACAGGTGAAAAAACAAAATGCCTTGAACTTTAAACTGGAGCTCAGCTTGTGAGCATGAAGTGCTTCAAGGTCACGTCACTCTCCTCTCGGAATGGCTAGAGGGCGGTGGGCAAGGGAGGGCGCGACTGCATCCTGTGGATGCTTTGATGCTTTCGTTCTCTTGCTTGCTAGTTTCTTTATAGCAATGACAAGGGCTTCCTGCCCAGCCAACCCCGCTGAATACCCTAGAAAGTTTATGGCAAAACACCTTTCTTGCATTAACCACATAGCTTGGGCGAAATGGTGGCACCTTTGAAATCAAGAAGTTAGGGTCTCCACTCCCAGCCACTCCCTCAAACTCTGGACTTTCATGGGACCCCTGCAAATAAACTGGCGCTTCACGGTCTCTGATGCACACTAGGTCCTCTGAATGCTCCCTCAGCAACCATTCTGTGGGTTTTTACTCTTTAGCTATGAGAAAAACTTTAAAAAATTTTTAATGCCACATCACTTTAATGACTATTGCATTGCCATTTTAAAAACATACAGTGATGGACAAGGGAGATGACCATCCCCCAGGCCAACTCTAAAAGTCTGGAAAGGAACAGCAGGAAAATCCCTAAACACCGAATCAGGGAAAGGGTTTTATAGAAATGGAGGATGGTGAATTGGCCAGGCCAGCCAGGGCCACTGCTCTAAATACTAGGTGCAGCTGGGAGTGGAGGTGCTGCCAGCCCCCATAGTTCCCAGCAGGAGGCACAGGAAGCTGAGGAAAGGCCTGGAACATTCAGCCAGAGTAGAGTGCAGTGGAGACTGCTGGGGTCTGACAGCGGGTCTGACACCTCTCTGGGTGGGGTGGGGAGTGACCATCACAAAGTGCCTACCTGCCCTGTGGGCACAGCTTCAGGAACAAGGGCTTCACCTGCAGGCCCACCTGTGGCTCAGAGGGGAAAATACAGATAATGCTGGCCACCATGATTGAGCATTTACATTGTGCCTGACCCATGTTAAATGCTTCACTTACATTTTCAAGTTACACAACTCAAGAGATCTCATTCCCTAGCTTCTCCTCATTTTACAGATGGGGAAAATAAGAGGTGAAGTGACTTCCACAGGTCCCCCAGTTTAAGGTAACACAGCAGATGTGTCTGTCTTCACACCTCCTTCCTGCCCTACAAGGCTCTCCCTTAGCTCTAGAAGAGGGTGCTCCGCTCATTCCCTCCCACCTGAAACTGCAGAACAGGAACAGCTTCCAGCCACCAGATGGCCCCCTGCAGTTGGTGGCTTGGGCCACTGCCCCACACCAGGTTCCGTTTATATCCTCACCTAGAAGGAACCCACAGGCACTTACTGAGCACCAAGCAAACACCAGTGCAGTCAGCCTGGGGAATCTGCACTCAAAGGTGGCCACCATCCTGGAATTCTTAGTAATTTTATCTTAACTTGTGTAAGCGAAGTCTGATGGGACACTAGAGCATATTCTAGTGAGCCGGGGAGGCCTGTGCAGCCCCATGGGCAGACACCTATTCTATGCTTCTAGTGCCCTGGAAGCATGGAATCCTGGTGGACCCACGACGGAGAGGATTCAGTGAGACTAGAAGTGAGGACAAGGTGATGTGTTACGTCTATGACTGGGTCAGCTGGAAGAGGCCACACTTTCCATTCCAAGCAGTTGCTTTGAACCCTGGAGAAGGCAATACAGGGCTCAGAAATACTAACAACCAAGAAGCTCTATCCTAATCTTCCTTATCTGGGTACTTCCCTGTACCAGACAACCATACACAATGAAGACGGTGACACAGAGGGCAAAGGTGACTCAGTACCCCAGAATTTCTCTACCTCTCAGTCTTTGCTTCATCGTCAGGAGCCGAGGGTGGGCAGTGTTGGTAGGATGTACATATGTCAAGAACTGAAAGAAATATGGTTGAGATAGTTTTGAGCAGAGTTTCTAGTTCTGGTAAGAATACATATGCATGCACAAGTTGTGAAATATTATCATTTCTGTGATTCCACATGAGTTAAATAATCCTTTATTTGTATTTAAATTAAAATGGACATTGCACAATATAAAGATGAATGATAAAGTCAATGCTAAGATCTCGATTTTTCCTTGTCACAAAAAAACACATAAGTTCAAATAGTGCCCTAGGTGTAAATTTACAGGAATTGAATTCAGTTCTGTGGCTGTGCCCTCATTTCCTTCAGAGGTTCAGTCACAGAGGCAAGGTCCAGGGAGAGGACAGTTTTCTGGACCCCGAGCCTCTGACCTGGGGCCAGTCACTCCCTGCACTGCCCCCAGCCTCCCTGGAGTAAGGGCAATGGTAAGCATCCAAATAACCTTATAGAGATAAAAGGCCATCTAGAACCTGCAAAACTAATCTCTAGAGACAGCAGTCAGATCAGTGGGGACAGGAGGTGGCGGGGCACGTTCTAGGAAGATGGCAGTGTTCTTGTCTTTTGTCAAAATTACCAACCTGTGCACTTAATATGTCAATTTTCTTGCATGTAAATTATACCTCAAAGAAAATCTAACAAAAAAATTAAATGAGATTGTGGGAGGAAGGCAATTTGCAGGCCATTAGGACTATAATTATTCTTACCAGTTTATATTCTTATCTGAGTTCAACATACTTCACAGTCCCTAATCAACAGAAAAAAAAATGTCTCTCTTATTTAGGATTTTCACAAGCATTCACGTATTTCCAAAGTATTTCTAAAGCAGATTTATGGTAGCCTTCCTTAAACTCAATCACTTTATGGAACCAAACATGCAAGACAAGACAGACTTCTCTGTAACAGTCACCTGGAGTCCCGGAAGGGAAGCAGCAGAAAGGTAGAGCCGTCCCTGTGTGATGGAGTGATGGAGGGTACAGTGCCCCCTGTAGGACAGGGACTGGGGTGAAGAGTCAGGCCTCACCAGCTGTCATCACCCACCCAGGGCCTGTCTGCACTGGCTGCTGACCAAGCAGATGTATCCACAGTTGGCTACTAAGAAATGGAGCAATTGATTTGCCTCTTAGAATATTTTTGCAAGCCTGCTAGAGGAGAGCACAGCTTTTAACTTGCTTGCTGGCAGTAGCCCAAAATATGTTACCTCTGCCTGGAGCAAGGCCCCAGTCCAAGGAGGAAGCGCAAAGAATCTGCGTCTTGTCAGAACCCACAGTCTATTCTGATGGGCATGGGAAGGGCCACTGGGCCTGGTTGAAGGCAGGTAACTTCCACTTTACCCTGTATGCCCCTAAAAGGTAATTTTTTGTTCTCTTGGTGACAACTCAGGCAGTAAGCAGTGGAGGGAAAGGTAATGACTATCCATTAGTGTATTATTTAAAAGGTTTTGTTTTTCAGAAACATTTTAAGGCTACATTAACTTAAAGTTGTATTTTGAGTGTTTTGCTTACTTAGGTGAGAAATGGGGAGTTTGGGAATGAACACAACTTAAAAATTTAAGTTGGAAGCAACACAAAAGAATAATTACAAAATATCACACAAAAGCATTCCCTTCTGGGTGGTTTGCTAACAAAATAATCTAGAGAGAAGAGAACAAACCTGTTTAAACAGCTCTTACATAAATATTTTAGAAGTTAGGCCTACCCAAAAGCGATAGATAAAATTGTTACAAAGGCAGGTAAAGCCCCTAGCTAGGCCTGGTCCCAAGCCCCCTACATCTAATATAGTATTTCAAAACTTTGGAGGAACAAGACTCCCAGAAGGAGCACTGGACAGAGAGCCCAGGGCTCAGATGTCAAAGCCAAGCCTCTGTTGACCTTGGGCTGCCCTGCCCAGGCCAAGTGGGGCAAGGGCACAGCAGGTAGCAGGAGATGAAGGTATGCTGGGCTTGCCTCCCTTGGGCTCAGGATCCACAGGAGAGCCAGCCAGTGGCCTCCCCCAGTGACACAGGATAGAATATTAGTCAGCGAGAAGACTGAAAAGTGATTGCCAACTACAACTGCTAAATATCCCAGAACACCACCTACGATACAAAAAGAACTCTGAGCACTACTCTAAAACTAGCAGCACAGGTTCCTGGGCTGTTGGTACCAGCTGCCCTGCTGCCAACAGCCCAGTAACATGAAATAATTCAAACTCCATTTCCAATTCAGGGCTCTTGAATTCAGCACTCAATTCTTTTAGTAGCAATAACAGATTTACCTTCAGAATTTCCTTTGCCAAGAATATTATTAAAAGGCAGTTTAAAATTTCCAAAAAGATGTTGGCTACCTGGAGATAATCAGGTAGGCAGGAAGAATGTGAACCTACAAAAGTTAATTGCCTCCATTAGTGCAAAAAAAGAATCACCCCAACACATACACACACGTCTACACATTCACACACCCATTTTAAAACAATTTTTTAAAGACTTTCTAAAAATAATAACAGAACTCAAAACCTGATGGGTTTTTCTTTTTTTGATTAATTACCTGGCCCCAAAGCACCCAAATCCTTTTAGTGCTTTTCTAATTATTCCCAAATAAAACTCAATAAATAGCTGAGAGATAAACAAAAACTGAATTACAAGAAAGAAGGGGAGTAAGAGAGGAAATTAAGGGCATGTTACTAAGATGCTTTAAAATATTACTTTAAAGTAAATCCATTTACTTACATTCCTATGAGTACTAAACACAGCTGGTCACTTTATTGACAGTAGTCAGAAGTCTTTGAGTCCAAAACTTCTAGAAAAATATGTTGTGTCAAGTGACAGGGGCTTCAAGGGAACTAATGGATGCATTGAACTAATTAAATCCAACCCTTTTATACACTCTGCTCTCCCCTCCCCCGCCCCCCCCAAAATTCCACTTTAAAATCCAGCTGGGAGTAGCTGACAGAAGCCACAGGCTTGGAGGCCAAGCACACCAATCTTCCTCAGGGTTTTTCTGGTGTGTGGGACTGGATCCCAGGACCCTAAATATTACTAAAAATCACAGGGTGGTCTATATTTGGCTCTTAAAAACCACTTAAAAGCCAACACACAGTCTACTCCTGGGAGAACAAAACCCCTGTTAAAATATAAAAATTCCTTGTTACTGCTTTGTAATCATCAGAGAATAGATGCTGCCATGTTCAGTTTAAACACTTTTCCAAACATTTCAAAAACAGAACACTAGCTTTGTTTTTCATTATGGAACTTTATTTTTTAAGTTTACTGTGTTCTTTCATGATAAAAAGCTGGTACTAACCGTTTGTTAATATCTCAGAAATTCCCCCTGCAGAGGAAAAAAGTGATTCTCTCCCAATCCCAGAGGGCCATGCTTCACAAAACCCCCCAATATTTAAGGGTTGACCAAAGTCCTACCTGAAGCCCCTTAAAACTGCAACTCTTTACTGGTTCTCTGAATGCCCCCCACCAAGAACCAGGACCCTAGGATCTGCTGTCCATCATGAATCAGGTGCAGATGTTGCAGGGGAGGAGAAGGAAGGCAGGTTCAATAAACCAGGTCCTGCTCTAACTGGTGTGGCTTGGTGGGCTGGGTGTTGTACTGCAGACAGCTTCAGGTTCAATCCCAGTCAGGGCACATGCCTGGGTTGCGGGCCAGGGGGTGTGCTACAGACATCTGATCAATGTTTCTCTGGCACATGGATGTTTTCTTCCTCTTTCTCTCTCTTCTCCTCTCTCTAAATAAATAAAATCTTTAAAAAAAAATAAAAATAAATAAACCAGGTCCTCTCCACCCCTGAAGCCTTTCTAGAGGGAAAGAGAGGAACTACCAGCGACCAAAGGAGTTGATCCTTCAACATTCATGCAGACTCTCAGCACTGTTTTAATATAACAATGATTATAATTATTTTTGAGTTATGGAATTCATCTCTGCCATCATCCTGGAATAAAGACAGTTCCCCAAGTAGCTGGTTCCTGTCTCACCAGGGAGAAAAACCAGCATAGCCCAAGTGGGCTACATCTCCCAAGAAGGAAAGGAGGGGCTTCTAGGATCTGTGTCTCCCTGTGTGAGAGACAGCAAGCACTGAAGCCACCCTGCGTGTCCCTGGTCCTCTGGCCTGTTCTCTAGCCAAGCTTGCAGGGCCCACCCCTTCTCTCCAGGGCAGGAATAGCTGCGGATGCAACCCAGCCCCACCCAGATCTCTCCAGAAGGAACAGAGAGTGCCAGGTGGAAACTGGCTTGAGCGCAGTTTGTTAACTTCGCCTATTTCCCCACAGAGAGGAAGTACATTCATTGTACGGGGGCTGATACATTCTCCCCAATCCTTCAGCAGTCCTGCACGGCAGGTGTTATTGTCCCATTTCACACATTGAAAACCAAGGCTCAGAGGAGTTATTTAACTAAAACAGCATGGCTATTAAATGGAATGACTCAATCCAAAATCCATGTACCTTCCCTCAACATACACTGTGGTCAACTAGAAGAAAAACACAGTTTTGGTGGCAGAAAACACTGAAGCTCTCCCTGGTTTTCGTAACAGATAACCACGGTACAAAGTGGAAGCACTGCTGCTATTCCCCACCTGTCACACCTGTGGGAGGGGCGGTGCTGTAAGCCCTGGTCTGTACAACTTTAAAAACCAAAGCCAGGCTTAAAGTTTTTGTAAAGCAAGGAGTGATCCACCAGCCACCAAGATTCTGTTAGAATTATCTGCTGAGTGTTTAGTATTCCCAGACTAGTTGAAAGATTATTCATTCATTCACCCATTCAGTATTTTTTGAGCATCTGTGATAGGCCAGGCATCATGCTAACAGCCAGGGGCATAAAAATAAACAAGACAGCAGTCCTTGTTTTTAAGAAGCTGCAGTCTAGTTGGGGAGATAAATGCATTAAAAGATAAGACACACTGTGAGGCGGTCAATGAAAGATGTGCATGGGAAAGCTGGGTATTATGTGTCCTGAAGGGGAATGCTACCTGGGCAGCAGATGAGCAGGGCAGAAGAGGGTGGTCTGAGCAAAGGGGACAGCCTGGGTGCACCTGGGAGCTGCAGCATGAGCCTGAGAACTGGGGAAGAGGAGAAAGAGGGAAGCTGGGCCCAGGTCACTAGGGGCTCTGGATTTCAGCTCTGTGTGATGGCAATAATTATGGAGTATTAAATAAGCGTGGGAAGTGACACAGGAAATATTTATAATTTAAAAAATTATCTCATGCAACCCCAGTGGAAGACCATTTGGCAGTATCAGTGGAAGTTGAGCCTATGTTTTCCCAATGACCCAGTGAGTCCACTGCAGGCAGATGCTCCACAGAACGTGAACACAGGTTCAGCAGAAAAAAACAGATAAAATTATTCTGATCAGCTCCATTTGTATTAGCACAAAACTACATGCTACCCAAATGTCCATCAACAGTAAAATAGCCCAATAAACTGTGTTACACTGGGAAAACTCTACAGCAAGAACAAATGAACTACATGTACAGCGTGGCTGAATCTCACAAGTGATGCTGAATGAAAGGAGTGAGACAAAAATAGTGCCAACTACATGACTGTATTTATATGAAGGTAAATAACAGCCAACCTGATCTCGGCTGCGGGTGTCAGAATAGTGGACACCCTGGGCGGAAAGTACTGACTGGGAAGGACGAGACACCTAATTCAGGTGCTTGTTGCCTGGGTGTGTTCCCGTTAAGAAAATCCATCAGCTATGACTTCTACACTTTTCTGACATATATTGTACTTTTGTAAAATGTACATTTAATTTTAAACACATATAGTAACAGAGTAGAGAACACCTTCGTGAGAACAAGGTTTACAAGCATGAAACTACAGTGAACAAGAGGAGGACAATTACAGTGCTACATATAATTTAATGGAATTTGGAAGCGAAGGAAACCAAAGGCTTCACAGAAGTGGCTTACCCCTCTTCAATGCTCCCCCAGGGCATGAGAGTGAAGGCAGATTTCACAGGGCTACCGAAGGCTGCAAGTCATAATACATTCATTCTCAGATTGAACAACCTCCAATTATAGAAGAAAGAGTTAAATGACACCAACTGGAAGCAAATGGGCATTCCATGGGAGAATTTTTTTTTTTAAATGATGGTGATTTCCCCTAGTTTAAGCAACTTAAGATTTATAATAGCCCTGGGTAATGTGCAGACCTTGTATGGATTCTCATTTGAACTTATCAACTGTAAAATGGCATTTCTGAGACAATCAGGAAAATCTTATAGGTATATCTAAGTAGATGGTGACACCAGGGAAATTAAGGTTAAATTTTTGGGTATGGATAATGGCATTATGATTTATAAGAAAATACCCTTATTTTTTAGAGATGAGTATGGAAGTATCTAGAGTTCATGAAATATCATAATGTCTTATATTTTAAAATACTTCCATAAATAAAAAAATTAATGAGGTGTGTGTCGCAAAATCTTGGTTATTTATGAATCTGTGTGATAGATAAATGGGATGATTGAACTATACTTGCTGCTTTTATAGATCTTCCCACTCCCACCATAAAAAAAAAAGAGCGAGAAGTATTCAGTATAACAAATCAAAGAGGGAACATCACTATATATATTACAGATGTTTACAAAGATAACAAGGGAATACAGCGAACAATTTTATACCAATAAATTTTAGAACTTAGATAAAATGAATAATTTCTTAAAATGCACAAACTACTAAAGTTCACTATAGAAAAAAAATAGTAACCTAAATAGCTATACATCTGTTTATGAATCTCTACTCATAGTTAAAGAGATGGCTTTGCTGGTGAATTCTACCAAAATTTATGGAAGAAAAATACAATGATTAAATAAAATTTTTCACACAAAATAGGAAGGAATTGCTTTTATGAGGCCACTATAATCTGATAATAAAACAAAACAAAAGACATTCACAGAAAATAAAACTACTGGCTAATATTTCTTATGAACATACATGCAAAAGTCTTACACAAATATCAACAAATCAAATCCAGCAATAAATAAAAAAAAATATCAATACCATGGAATGTTTAATCCCAGCAATGTAAGGTTAGTTTAATATTTGAAAATCAACCAATGAATCATCATATGAACAGATTAAAATAGAAAAACCTCTTGGTGATCTAAATGGATGCAGAACGAGTATTTGACAAAATTCAACAAAATCATGATCAAAATTCTCATCAAACTAGGAAAAGAGAGCTTCCTCAATCTGATAAAAAGCATCTATGAAATACGTACAGCTAATATCCTTTTTAAAAATTAAATTTATTGGGGTGACATTGGTTAATAAAATTACAATATACATATACATGTATATATGTGTGTGTATATATATGTTTTAAGTGTACAATTCTACAATACATAATCTGTATCTTGTATTGTGTGTTCACCACCCCAAGTCATAGCTTCCATCATCATATACTTGAACCCCTTTACCGGGCTAATATCCTTTTAAATGGTGAATAATTAAATACTCTCCCCTTGAAAACAAGGTAGAGTTGTCAGCTCTCCCACATCTACTCAGTGTTGGAAACTGGAGTTTAGCCAGGGTAGTAAAGGAAGACGAAGAATAAAGGAATATACTTCAGGAAGAATTCAAACTATCTTTGTTTGTAGTTGACATGATTGTACAAAAAATCTGAAAGAATCGACAGGAAAACTACTGAAACTACCAAGTGCATTTAGCAAGGTCTTAAGATTCAAGGTCAATAAAAGGGGGGACGCCCTAAAAATGGAATTATCTTCTGGAGGGCAGGTCCCTTGTAGTACAGGCTCTCCCTCCTAGGTGAATTTTACAGGAATCCATCTGTATCAGTGTACCAGCTGGCGTTGTGAGAGTCTGTGTTCAGCTTCAGTGAAATTTTTTTGAAGACACTTTGAATGTGTTTGCCCATTTTACGATGGGTGATTTATGAGAGCACCTGCCCACACTGCACTGAGTATTTGGCAGTTTTTGACCAAAAAGGGCATGAGTCCTATGCCCCACCCTCCTTATTCACTTGGTCTCGCCCCTAGCGACTTTTTGTTTCCCCGGATAAAAAAAGTCCTCAAAGGGACTTAGATGCAGATGTAGAAAAGGTAAAATAAAAAAATGACAGAAGCACTGAATGGCATCAAAGTTGATGAGTTCAAAAAACTGTTTTGAGCAGTGAAAAAAATGTCTTGATAAGGGTATTGCACCAAATGGAGAGTACTTTGAAGGTGACTGATGTTTAAAAATGTAAGAATAAATGTACAACATTTTTATATATATAAATTCAGATATTTTGGGCCCCCCTCTCATATTTAAAAATCAATTATATTTTTATATACTAGCAGAGAAAAACTGAATCTTGAAATTAAAAAAAAACCAAAACCAGTATCATTTACAATAGTGCCAAATCTGAAATAGGCACAAATTTAACAAAATATGTACAACACTTGTATGCTGAAAATTCAAAACATTGTTGAGAGAAAATAAATATATAGTAGGTGGAGATATGTAGCATGTTTTCATGAATCAGAACTCAATACTGTAGAGATGACAATTATCCCCAAATGGAACTATAGATTCAGCATAATCTAATGAAAATTACACCAAGTTCTGTTCCTTTTTTTTTTTTTGAAACTCATGAGCTGATTCTAAAACTTATATAAGTTTAAAAACACCTAGAATATCCTAAACAATACTGAAAAGCTGCATAAAGCTTTTATTTTAATACTTATTATGGAGCTGTAATAAAAAGTGTGGAATTAAGAGAAATGAGAGACATCAAGATCAATGAAATACTGAATGATGCCAGCATTCTGGTGTCAGCATATCCCTCAACTGTGTTCCTCTACCCCAACAAAAAAATTTGACATCCATTCACAAAATGCCTCTGTGGGAGTTGTGGGATCCAATGCCATATGCCATGGAACCCAGGGGTAGGGGGAACACACCTACCTGTGCTTCAGACTAACAGGCAGGCAGACCTCTGACCTCGGTAGAGCCTGTGGAACCAGCAGGATCCTGTGAACTGGCTCCAGACCCTCTTGGCAGCAGTCAAGGAGCACCTGGAGAACCTTGACTTGAGCAGTCACTCATGAACATGAGAGCCTTTGTGGAATCCAGGTTTCCAGAGGAAAAGTTCTGGAATTTGGACACAGAGGATCAAATGAGAGGAACAGCTTGACTTTGACAACATCACCCCTTCTCCAAAGTGGCAGGAGATTTGGAAAGAGGAAGAGAAAGTGCCTGGCTTCCCCAGCTGTGCAGGACAGTGCTAAAGAGGACTCATTTCTCCTTACAGCATCCAGAGGATTAAACTGTGGGCTCTGTGATTAGGGGTGAGGAGCAGACTGGGAGAGCAGAAGATAACATTTGGGGAGAGCATTAAAGGGATACAGTTCCTGCTGACTGCATTGTGGATTCCATCATGAAGCCAGGCCATAAGTCACTGGGGAAGCCTCACCAGTAGACCCCTCAAATGGTCTACAGGCGTCCCCAGCACCCCATGTACCTCACCCACATATCCTCCCCCCAACCCCAGTTCTGCAGCTTGCTCCCTATGTGTGCCCCTGAGAGCAAGATTTGATATAAGGCTAGTGAGCACCTATAGGAAGCAGGGCAGGATCTGCAGGCAAGGGAGAAACCACAAACTTGAGCTATAACACCATCACTGTGAAAACAGGAGAGAAGCTATTAACAGCCTGCCTGGTGCATTGTAAGATCGAAGAAAACATAATGAGCTTAAGAATTCTGTCACAAAAGGAAATGAAGCATGGAGCAGGTATATTCATACAAGTGTGAGAAAGCTTCATAATCTAGCAGGACAATGGAAGGTATTTCTCTCCTGTAGAAGGCTGTCAAAGTCTGGAGGAAGCAACTGCTATTTTAAATGTGGAAGGAGCAATTCAAACTCCAAGAATCATGAAAAATCAAGGAAATATGACATAACCGAAGGACCACAGTAACCTCCTAGTAATCAAACACAAGCACACAGAGATCTATGCTTTGCTCAGTAGAGATTTAAAATAGTGTTTGGAGGAAACCTAATGAATTATAAGAAAACACAGAAAGACAATGTTTTGAAATCAGGAAAACAATCACAAAAATTGAGAAATTTGACAAATAACAGAAATCATAAAAAACCAAATTCTGGAGCTGAAGAATTCAATGAATAAAATGGGGGGGAATGCAATAGAGAGCAGCAATAGCAGAATAAATCAATGCAGAAGAAAGAACCTATGAGTTAAAAGATCAGAACTTTGAAGTAACACAGTCAGAAAAGAAGAAAAAATGGAAAAGAGTGAAGAAAGCCTGCATGAAATATGAGACATCATCGAAAGAACCTATATACGAAGCAGGCAGAAAACTTAAAAGAAATAATGGCTTAGTGACTTCCTGGAAAGAAATTTGAGCATCCAAGTTCATAAAGCTAATAGATCACCCATTATTTTAATCCCCAATATATTTCCCAAGATGCATTCTAATAAAACTGTCAAAAATCAAAGACAAAGGAAGAATCCTAAAAGCAGCAAGAGAAAAGAGGGTTGTAATCTGCGAGGGAATGCCCTTTAGGCTATCCATGGATTTCTTAGCAGAACCTTCTAGGTGAGCAGAGAGTAGGATAATAGTCAACGTGCTAAAAGAAAAAAAAACAAAAAACCTTCCGATAAAGAATATTCTATCCAGAAAAGTTATCCCTCAGAAAAGAAAGAAAAATAAAGATTTTCCCAAACAAAAGGTCAGAGACTTCATCACCGCCTGACCTGCCTTGTAAGAAATGCTGAAGGTTCATCAAGCTGAAATGTCCAGAAGGAAGCTGGGGCATGTGCTCAGAGAACTCTGCAGTGGAAAATGGTGTAAAAATGGAGCTGTATACAAGGTATCCTGATCGTTAGGAGCTGAACTGTGACTCCTCAAAAATTCATATGTTAAAGCCCTAATGCCAGCACCTCAGAATGTGACTATATTTGGAGACAGGGTCTTCGAAAAGGTCATTAAGTTAAAATGAGGGCTTCAGGGCTTAATACATTACACCAGTGTCAGAGGAAATCTGGACACACAAGAGATACAGAAGAAAGGACATGTGAGGACTCATACAGAAGGTGGCCCACCTGCAAGCCAAGGAGAGGCCTCAGAAGAAACCAAACCTGCCAACACCTTGATCAGGACTTATTGCTTCCAGAACTGAGAGAAAATAAACTTCTGCTGTTTGAGCTCCACAGTGTGTGGTACCACGTTATGGCAGCCCTAGAAAACTTACACGATACAGCTAATATGATAACACAATTTATGATAAACATGATGAACATAGGAAGCATCCCAATGGAAGAAGCCGGACATAAATGGTCACATTTGATTCCACTGATATGAAATACCCAGAACAGGTACATCCATAGAAATGGAAATCGGACTGTTTGTTGCCATGAGCTGCAGTGAGTAGGGATTGTGGAGTGACTACTTAATGTGTCCGGATTTTCTTTTGGGATGATGAAATGTTCTGGGACTAGATGGAGATGGTGAGTGTACAATATTATGACAGGGCTAAATGTTACTGAAGCCTTCACTTTAAAAATGATTGGTTTTATGTTGTGCAAGCTTCTCCTCAATAAAAAACTCTAAATTAAAAAAAAAATCTTTAAAATGATACAGATAAAATATACTATTAGACTATGCTGTATTGAGTGACCAAGTGAAGGTATTTGTACTGTATCATGAAGAACAGGAAAGGTAGAGATGAATTCTGCTTGTGTGTGATTTGGAGCCTGAACTGACCCTTAAGGGACAGGGGAATAAAGGCCATTCTGGAGAGAAGAGGGAATAAGGTGGGAGGGATTTTACCCATTCCAGGCAGGAACTGGGTGAAAGCCGGGGCACACAGGTGGGAAGGTGCCTGGAACTGGAGTGGACAGGGGAGCCCCTGGGAACCCAGAACATGGCCTACAGGGGTGAGGATGGATAGTTGGGAAGCTGGGGCCAGCAGGGTAGAACACTAGTGTCTGCTCACTCCATGGAGTGGACTGTATCTTGCAGCTGGGGCTTCCCAAACCCAGCTGGGCTCCCAAAATGCAGGAGAAATTTGAACATTTTTATTCCTGAGCCTCCCCTTCCCCAGGTAGATTAATTTAGTGAGTCTAAAGTTAGGGGACAGAAACCTGGACTTAAAATACAACTTTTTAAAAAGTTCTCTAGGTGATACTGGTGATTAACCTTTTGGGAAACCATGGATTTCCCAGTGAATGCTTCCCATGTAGTGAAGAATCTTACAGTTTTTCTTTCCAGGCTTAACTGAGGTATAACTGATAAATATTGCATGCATTTAAGGTGCACAATGTGGTGATCTGACATATGTATACATTGTGAAATAATTACCATAATCAAATAAACACATCCATCGCCTCACTAGCTCCCTTTTGTGTGAATGTGTGTGATAAGAGTGCTTAAGATGTACTCTCAGCAAATTTTAAGAGTACAGTAGTATTAACTGTAATCACCATCTGTACATTAGATCCCCAGAACTTACATATCTTATAACTGAAGTTTGGTACCCTTTGACCAACATTTCCCATTTCCCACCCCCTGGCCACACTGAAATTCTACCTTTGCTTCTATGACTTTGACTTTTTTAGATTACACATGTAAGTGATATTATACAGTACAGTAAGTACTCACTTAACATCATCGACAAGCTCTTTAAAACTGCAATTTTAAGCAAAGTGACATCATGAAACCAGTTTTACTATAGGCTAATTGATATAAACAAGAGTTAAGTTCCTATGACATATTAATGGTCACAAAAATATCACTAAACTTCTAAATAAAGACCCAAAACACTTCTACTATTAAAACCATTGAAATGAACGTGAGCTATTCATCATTTAAGAAAGATGAATAAAAACAAGTACGAGAATTCTTCTCCAATCTACTTATTCCAGTTCAGGATCACAGCTAGGTGGAGACAATCCCTGCAGCTCAGGGCACAAGGAGGTCACCCATCTGGACAGAATGCCCTTCCCATTGCAAGACACATTCACACATGCATCCACTCTCTCATACAGGGACAATGTGGACAGGCCAGTTCACCTGATGTGCACATGTTTGGGACAGAAATGGAGTACCCAGAAAAAAATACACAGCAAAAATAGACTTGAGGAAACATGAAATTCCACACAGATTATGGCCTTGGTTGGGAATCAGTTTTTTTTTCTCATCATCATGATGATGAACTGACATTATCTGAGGTCCTGCTATACTTGTCTTTCCGTGTCTTGCTTATTTCACCTAGCATAATGTCCTCCAGGTTCATTCATGTTGTTGCAAATGGATTTCCTTTATTTGAAAATCCTAACCTGAGGATATGTTTATTGATTTTAGAGAGAAAAGAAGCGGGGAGGGGGAGAGAGAGGGAGAAAGAGGGAGAAACATTGATGTGAGAGAGAAACATCAAATGGTTGCCTCCCATACACACCCTGATTGGGGATCAAACCTGCAACGTAGGTATGTGCCCTGACCAGGAATCAAACCCACAACCTTTTGGTACACAGGACAATGCTCCAACCGAGCCACATGACCGAGGCAGGATTTCTTTTTCAATAAAATATTGAAAATCATTTTTTCAATAAAATATTGAAAAATGTTTTTAAGTATTCCCATTATTATATCTATGTCCATTATATATGTTTTTTATATATAATGGTCATCACCTATGAAATATATATAGAGAAAAAGTATTGCATATAAATATATATACATATAAAATGGAGTATTTTATACACATTTACATTTTATCTATTCATCTAATGACTGACACAAGCTGTTTCCATGTCTTGCCTATTTTCAATAAGGTCTTTCAGTTTCTACACTGATGCTACTCAAGAACTACTAATTTTTGGATTAAAGAAGACTCATTATGCTCTATATACTGTAAAAACAGGGAAGGCATGCAAATTCCTATTCACAAATTTTTAGAAAATATTTTTGCTTAATCTTCTTCTACATGGAAAGTTCAATTAATCAGAAAAGCGAATTCTCCAACTATTAAAGACTTAATGTGTACAAGCCTATATCTTGTTTTAAAAAAACACTTCAAGTATCTGAGTTATACAAAAAAAACAGTAACAAAAAAAAAAAACACAACAAAATAC